TTTTCAAACCTTTAAAAGTAGTTGGTTTTATAGGAAGAGTCTGTTTGGGAATTGTTTATCCACCAAATGAGAATTTTGTCTGTTCATGTCATACTTGTAGAAGCCAAGAATTTTGCAGAAACAGTATCCAAAGACACCTTTAGTATAGGGAATGAAAACAGAATCATTACCACGTTTATGGTGGCTACAAGGTTTCTATTTGATCATTTTCTATCATTTTCAAAGATAATTTTCCACTAGAAATTTTCAGTGTTAAAAATAAACCCTGTAAAGTGTTTAGATATTTTCAGGGTATACTCCAGTCAAGAAAAGGCTCATAGTATCTTTACTTGGGGTCATGCTCATGTTAGAAGTTCTAGAACCTTGTACATTACAGCTTTATGTCGGTGCATGCAAGGGAATTAGAAAACTTTTCATACACAAAGATTTTCCCAATATATCTCAGTATATATTTTTTAACTTTGACATGCTGCAATAGTGAGACAAGAGTTACAGAGACAGGAGTTAGAATTCAATTAAGTGGTAAGGACAGCAGCCCCAAAGTGCAGTTGAGAATTCCAAAATGAAGTCTGCTGAGTCACGCCATTCTCCCAGAACCTTACAGAAACATTTGCTCGTGTCCTGAGGGTCCTCCCCAGAGTACCGTCAAGGAGTCCATTGGCTCAAGGACACATGGACAGTGTAGCTCAGACCCGAAAACATATGCAGTCTCCTATACGGTAGAGATCTTATCCCTTACACAACAGCACAAGTTCCCTTCTAAACCCCTTAAGAACTCCTAGACAAAGAACATTCTTAGGAATCCTGCTCAGACTCCTTCCCAAATAACAGGAGCTCTATTTCCCTGCCTTTATATCTTTCACTGTCTTGACTTTGTATCTTTTAAATAAATTCACTTGAGCCCCACTTTCTCTGTCCCTGCTTTCATTCTTTGTTACTGTGGAACATGACCTCAGCGTTCTGGTAACAATCAGATATGAATGTTAAATAAATCTTCCCAACATACACAACACAAGAGACCATCTCTGGCTTCTCTCTACCAGTTTTCCCATGGGAAGTCATCCTGAATAATCCCACAGCACCAGGATGTTGTGCTGTATGAAAGTAGAGCACATATAATTATATTTACTGTGCTCCCACAGAAAATGAGTCTACAAATCCAGATGTTTTGTTGATTAGAGTCACACAAATATGGTACCCCAATAGATGCACATTAGATAATAATTATCATGAACATCACCATTTACCATGACTTTATTTTCAGTAAATATCAATTAATGCCCTTCTTTTCTATAAGTTAAGGCAAATATGAAACTTCACACTTATTTGTTTATAGCTGGCAATACCTCCAAAATGAACTATGAACTTCTTGAAAACAGAGTATGGAAATTGATTCAATTTTTATCTCTAGCACCTTGCCTGGTGTGTACCCATAGAAGATATTTAATGATAGTATGTTGAATGAAGCCTGATACTCAAAGTCAACAATATTTGACTTTTATAATGCTTGAAAGCTCATTGACAGGTATTGCAAATGCTATATGCTACATTAGGAATACACTAAACCACTGGAGTAAATTAGGAAGAGCCTTCAACCACATTTGTAAGAGTTTGGGACAATTCCAAGTATGACTGACATACCGGTGGTCAGGTCTTCAAGTCCATGACCAAAAGTTGCCTCACTCCCTTGGATAGATTTCAGAACAAGCATGCACAAAACTGAAACCTGGATTCTAAATGTACCAGGCATTGTAGTAGAGTTCCTGGATTGCTCTTGTACATTCCAACTCAGTAGGTATGAGGCTATATGTGAGATTCTGCATTTCTAGTAAATTCTTGGAAGATGTAAGTGGTGTTAGTTCAAAGAGCACACTTTGAGTAGCAAAACATAGATGTAGACTTTAGAATAAGAGATCTATGTTCAAACCCAGCTATGCAACATACCAGAAATAGATTTTATGCAAAATTTAAAAGTTTTAAAATCTCAATTTTCTCTACTATTAAGTGGCAACAACAATCTTATTCCTACAAATTTGGGTTCAAGTTAAAATGAAATGTGGCATATGTTAGGACTTCCTACTTTCTTGAGAGTTAAAAATGTATCTTTCTCAGTCTTCTGATAAATTAACAAATCTCTAACTTCAGAACATTTTTTAAACCTCTCTTACATGGGCCGGGGATTTAGCTCAGTGGTTCTGCCGTCTGCCTCACAAATGGAAGGACCCGAGTTCGATCCCGGTACCAAAAAAAAAAAAAAAAATTAAAATTAGGTATTCACTTCTGTAAAATAGAAATCATACTCTACTTTCTGAATAACTGAGATCACAAATGCAAAGGTGATTAATAATTTCTTGAGCAAAACAAGTATGCCATAAATATTATCAATCTTTTCCCCCTGCATAAATGCACCTTAATAAAACCACCACATAGATGTCCTACTATCATGCTTAAACAATTGTTGGAACATTGCCCCTCATTCTGGATCTAGACCCAAATTTAGCTTTCTAAACGAGCATCATTTCAAAAGCAAAATTAGTTTGAAAATCTTTTTAACACTGTGCATACAAATAATTTTAGATGAGTTGTTGTGTTTGCAGTAAGGGATACTGTTCTTTTGTATGTTGCATGTTACTTTGCAACTGGCAAGTGGATGTGCTTAAGTAAGTTGAAGGGATATGCGATACCTTAAGTTTGTGTCTGTTGTCCCTGAATGATGGTCCTACAAGTTAGTTTACCTGATGTTCTCCCCTTAAGATTTATACAGAAAATATCACCAGACATATTAGATTAGCTAATGCTGCAGTTAAAAAAAAATTATCCAGAATTCCTGGAACGTCTGCCATCTTGGATATCACAGTTCCATCTGCTGTAGTTTAGATTTGGTTTGGTGTACTCACCAAAGGGCTTATGTGTTTCAAGAGGATTGATTCTCAATAGAATGATGTTGGGAGGTATGATACCTTTAACCCTTTAGGAAGTTAGGTGTAGCTGGAAGTGTTTGGGTCACTGGGAGTATCTCTTGGAAGGAATTGATATAGTTCTCTTGGCTCTCTGAGTTGATTCTGGTGAGAACTAGTTGTTAAAAATGTGAGCCTGATCCTTGAGTCAGTCTTTGGCTTCCTATCTGGTGATGTGCTATCTCCTTCCTCCAACCTCTCCTCTAGTTATCACGTCATCCACCATGTTGTCTTCATTAAAGCTGGTGAAAATGCCATGCCCTAGAAGTTGCAGAACTTTGAGTTAAATAAATGTCTTTATTTTACAAAGTTATGCAGCCTCAGGTAATTCATTATAACAAATAAACTAAGACACCATCCTTAAGCAAAAGACAGAATTTTGGCAGGTCTTACACTGGTAATTAAATTCTGTAATATGCATGACTTCTCCCAATTCATTCATTAGAAGAACTCACATAGCCCCATGCAATGAATACAGTGAATAAGAATTATAACCCTAGTGTGTTCCTAGGAAATACCTAGAAATAGTTGATTAATACCTCAGACAAGCACCTTACTTATTTCATAAGACAAACTGTTATGCTTCTCTATGTTTCCTAAACCATACTTTTCTCCAGGGCTCTGTTGCCTCCAACAGAGTATGGGGCCACTTCTTGTTCTGGAAGCACCAAGCCAGGCCGGCCTCCTTGACCTCAGGTACTCAGCCAGTTGAGTAGCCAGATGTGTACCTGAAGTCTCCACAAGCTCCCATCACATTCAGAGCCAGATGAAATACAAGGTGAAGACAGCAGCATTTTTAAAGCTGTGGAAGAAAAGAGATGCTGCCAATCATAAATGTGTGGGGGAGTTAATGCCCCTCAAGGAGTACACTGAATGATGGCAAAGAGGTTTCTTCTTTACTACCTTCCAAAAATGTCTCTGGGCCTTTATTTCATAACACTTTCAGGAAAAACCTTTTGTTTCTTGCAGATAAGCTTGCTGAATAAACTGCTCTATCTCCTTACGGTGCTTCATGAAGCAACAGCCAGTAACATGCAACGCTGTGAAATTCTTCTCATCTTCCTCACATTTCCTTTTCTTCATCTTAATATACCTAGGCCTGCATCTCCCAAACAGAACACTTTAATCTTTCCTTCCCACACTGTCTTCTCAAGTATTTGCCTTGGCCCACCTATCAAATCTGCTTTACATCCTATTATACCTACTGTCACTATGGAAGTCTCCTGAACTTCAAGATTTCTGATTCAACTTAGAATGAATCTAGCTCATGTGTATCTGGTAGATGATTTTCAGTGGACCTCGTTATTTCCAGAAGGCCAGTTTCATATATGATGCCATCAGCATTAAATCTAATTAATTTTATCAATAACTGATTCAGTCATTACTAAAATCAACATATCATATTTGTAACATTGCCAGTTTGGGGTGAATGGATAATTCATTGTTGGGGGTGGATTGTAAGGTGTACAGCAACGTTTTTGGCCTCTACCTGCTAGCTTCTTGTAACTCTGCCAGTGGCAACAAGAAAGAGTCGCTAGACTGTAAAACAGTCCTTGAATGACAAAAATCAGTCCTGGATGAGAACCACTAATGTAAGCAATCAGAAAGCTTAAATTTTTCAAGGTAATTCCTTTTTAAATCACAATTTAAAGATAGTGTAATGATCCTCCATATTGCTATATTTAACATGAAATAATATATATGTCTGTGTGTTGGTCTAGCAATATTTATATTTTTCTCAATAAATTAAATACACTTAATACATATATAAATAGAAGAATAGTATTAAGAAACAGTGAACTCGAAGAGTTAGATGTATGAAACTGAAAGTCAGAATACACTGAGAATTTCCATATAGAAATAACACTGAATATACTTTAAGAGCATACATTTTTTCATGCAACACTTTCTGCATTTGTGTACACATGAATAATGATAAATTCTTGAAAATTATTATTTTGTTCTATTCAAATATTATATTTTACTTTGAGATCTTGTTGGAGTTATTTTTTTTTTCTCTGCTAGGAACTTTTCTTTCTAGGTAATGAAGAATACTATGCCTTCTTCAAATTGTCATGAAATTCGTATAAAAAAGTCTGAATTAATGAGCTTTTGCTACATTTGAACACAAGCTGAGGACTGATATCAGATAATCTTAAGATTCTGAACCCATAGCAATTATGCTTGTATCTTCAGTGGTGTCATCCTGAATTAAACATTGGCAAGCTTTATTGAGGATACCTCAGCAGAATTCTTAATTTGGAGAGACTATCAAATAAGGTAATTCACTGTGGCTTTTAACAAGATGATATAAAAACACCTCTATTCTACCTATTTTATTATAAATTTAAACTTTCTTAAAGTAGAACCCAATGATTGCTCAAAGCCATATCCAATGGGTAAAACTCATGATATGGTTCCACTGTTTAGATGCATTTCTGGTTTCTTTGTCCCAGAGTTGCTTCTTTACTGTTAAATTTAATTACACTAATCAATTGCATATTCTATGTATTCTACCAAGGTTGCTTTAATAATGAGGTTGATATTAGGGGGCTTCTTAAATGGGTACATTTTCTTAAGTCATTCTCTGCATGTATTTGTGAGATTAAGAATTGTTTCAAAATAAAACACAAGTATTATAAATGTATGTAAATATATACGTGGAGTTGTCTGCCAGGATGTTCTTTGGGTCAGAGTTGCTAGCCCAGCTGCTGGGCCTGAAGAATGTAGTAAAAATCTTTCCCCTCATACCTTTCTGCTTGAATCATTTACTTGCTACCATTTTTTCACTCCAAATTTTTAAACGTTCTGCAAAATGTGGTATTGTGCTTCCTGGTGTATTTTTAGTGTCTAATACTTTCAAAGATGCTCTCAACTTTATATATATATATAAAATTTCTCTCTCTATATATATAATTTCTCAAAATAGCCACTCAGGAGTGAAATATGATACCTGATGTTTGAAAAGGCTAGGTATAAAAATAGTGGTAATTTCTCATGTTTTTATCTAAATATTGATATTTAAACAAAAATGTGTTTTAATAAAGAAAATGGGATGTTTTCATTTTCCAATTTTTCAAAGAAAATTCATCAGCCTAGTTTTCACTTTTTTACTGTTTAGCAAATTTAATATTTCCCTCCCTTGAGATGAACTTGTTAAATATACATATATAAGCATCCTTCTACTTTGTGAACAACAACAATGACGGGATAATTTCTTTCAGGAAATTTTATAATTACATAGAGATAATTCATTAAAGAAGCAAGACATTTACATATTATATAATTCATGTATGTGAGTACATTACAAAATGAATTCTCAGAGACCAAAACATTGACTTAAGTCATTATTATTGTTGTTTAAGTACATACAGACACAAAATCCTGATGCTTATAATTTCTTTTCAACTAAGAGTCCTAAGGAAATCCATAAATTAAATGCTTACAAAACCAGGAAACCAATAATATGCAATACAAATTGTTTTTAACATGGTACTTTTTTATTTTACTAATACTTGAAAATTAATGTTTTCATGGATGCTCAGATGTGGTTATGGCTATGGCTTGAATGTCTCCTCCAAGATGCATATGGAAACTTGACCACTCTCATAACAGTGATGAGAAGTGGAACCCTAAGGGCTTATGAAGTCCTGGGAGCAGCACCCTCAGGAATGGGTCAAGGCCACTATCATGGGAGTGGCTTAGTTACTGCTATAGTAAGTTCCTGAATAAAAGGTTACATTTGACCTAATTTCCTATCAGTCTGAAATATGCTCATTTCTTTTCCACTGCCTTGTGACACACCACAAAGGTGTTTCTCAGATGCTGTCACCATACTTTTGGACATCTTAACTGCTAGAAACATGAGGAGGATGAACTTCTATTGTTTATAAATCACCCGGCCTTTAGTATTCTATTATAAAAGCGGAAAATAGATGAAGACATTATGTAATAAATATATCTCTGTATTTAAATATCAATATTATTATTTTAGATTTTGAATGTTGTATAACAATATATGTGCCATATATAAAACACTTGTTCTAAGACTACATTTGATGCTCTGGAATTATTGAGCCTCATATTTTATCCATCCTTGGCACCCAAGCAATCTCCAAACACCAGTTTTAATGAATCATTTCATAAAACTTTTTCACATGAATATAATGTTGATGTTAGTGCATTATTGATGACTGCATTAAATGGACATCTAATTCAATTGCTGCTGAACTGGGAAAAGAAAAATTCTACATTCTGCATTGTCTTTTTAGCATTATACCTACTGATAGTGAAATGGCTCACATTGTTATACATAAAAACTTGATCTACTCAATATGTCTTTCTTCAAGGTGACTACGACATTAATCTTTAACACATTTCTTTTTAAAAATAGTGATCTCACGTGAAGTTTAGGTTTCATGTCAGTGTAATGCATCAAAAGGGCAAAAATGAAAATTATAGTACTGAAATTAAGAGGTAGAACTTAATTGCCAGATAGTCCAGAATATGCTTATGTTGCTTCGTTTATAGAATCATTAAAAAAATTACAAAGTAATTGAAGAGGATTGAAGTTTCCAGAAAATGGGTCTGTAGAATTATCCCAGGTTGAAAATTCCTGGTTTAGCAATATGCAGAGATTTATAACTCTGCTCCTTTTGATTCATCAATTTACAATGTATGCTGAGTGGCTCTTGTATCTTACAAGTGGTAGTTGCTGGACAAACAGGCCAAACTAGTTCGAAGCACTCCTGAAACTCACAGTTTAATAAGTATAGACAGCTGTGTGGTAGGGGAGAAATTAGACTCTGTCACTTATCTTGTGACTTTGCATAAGCAATTCCTTAAAAGCTCCGTGTCCCAACTCACTAAACTATAAGATGAGGGCAGTACCTGCTTTAGTCATCAGATGATAGTAGTTAAAGCTTTAAAGTTCTGGAGGAAAGGAAAACATTATCAGTCACATTTACTTATGTTGAATTAGATCAAATTCTAGATAAGCACTGGTAAAATCATTTCCAAAATAGTTCAGCTTGATCATACTACAACCATTACAGTCAGCAGTATTAATAATTTTACAGTTATAATCCCCTTTGAAACTATTCTGTTTGAACCCTAAATCCAATGTAATGATTCCAATGACACTATTATACCTATTATTGAAATCAGGCATGTCTGGAGTGTGACATGGCTTCTGTCTAGCAGCTGTCTGAAGTACTACAAATAGATGGAGATGGTAAGAGAAAAGCAACTCCTTCAGCTGAAATTTCAAGGGAATGTTCAAGAGAGGTAGCACATGGCTGCCTAGCTTGGAACACCGCCAGGATCATTAGAATTAACAACCGTCCTGCCCTGGTGGAACACGCCATGGGTGCTTTAATGATCATCTTGACTTCTAATCTGAAAGACGTCATCTCTGACAGCCCAGGGTCTGCTGCTTACAGCACAGCACACAAGGAATTAGCAGGACAGTAAATCTTCGTAATACTTTCTTCAGGAGAGGCTTGCTGTGGTCCTTTCAATGTAGAAAACAAAGAGCTTGGACTGATAACAGCCTGAGCATAGTTCTCCTCCACAGCCACTTCCCCCACCATTAGTAAATTTGTGCTTGGGGAGTGCTAATTTTAATACTGGCTTAAGAAAAGTGTAATTAGAAAGGTAAATCCACTTCTGAGAGGAAAATCAAATTATATCTTCTTTCCCTGTAAATGTATGCTTGGCTTAACTATGTATCTCAAATCGTGTCCATTCTAGCACAGTGATTAGCAGACCGTAGGTTCACAGTGAATGTATCTAATATTCCAGAGAAGCAAAAGATGAACTATAAGGAACTACCATGTATATAAATTTGCCTGAAATCAGTTTTGAATCAAGGTGATGTATATATAATTTCAAAATATATTTTACAAAATTTAAATACATATGTATGAATTTTTTCTGACTTTAATAGTAAGATAAGTTTCTCAAAGAAAAATAAAACATACATAAAAAGTCATACTCCAGTGGATCAATAGCTATCAATCATCTGTTTATCCATTGATAACATCATAAGACTGACATTTTGATGTATTTCCTATTTCTTTGTGTGTGTGTGTATATATATATATATATATATATAAATAAAATGTACATCACATACATGTTTAGAGCAGTATTAGAAGGTTGTGGTTTATTGCACTATTTTTTTATTGTTGTTTCCCAGTACTACCAAAATTGGAGCCTGTTCTTAATGAGAAATAAGTGAAATATTTTCTAGAATAAGTCTAGTACATACATTAAATTAAATTAAATGTTTAATATAAAAGCAAATTAGCATGTCATGTCTTTAAGAAAAGCCTACTAAGCCAATTTAGTCATGGGTCAACACAATTTATCAAGAAGGGATATGCAGGACTAAAAACACTGCACAATACTTTCTTTTCCCCTCTTAATATAAAAAATTACTCATTTATGTCCCTTTTTATTCAACATCATTCATCTGGGTGTGTAGCATAAAGCAAATCTGCCAGGAAACCTTATTTAAAATTTGGGAAGAGAAGTGGAGAAAAGTATAATGATATTAATGTGTTTCATTAATTGTAGGGAGTGTAACCTCATTTGCTCAATTGTCCTGGGGATACTGCTGCTGCTTTAAACGGAAAGCAACTGGTAAATTGGGAACCACGAGTCTTAATGTTTAAAACAGAGCTTCTAGTTCAGAGACAGAAAGTCATGTTCCAAAGAAAGCAGCGTTTCTACTTTGCCCATTTAAAGCTGAACAAAATGTAGTGCAACCAAAGAATGCGAGGGAACTGGAAACAGCTGTGAAATCCTGGGAAAAAAGGAGGCCCAGTTAAAATGGAATTTTTGATAACCACGTCAGCATTATTTTTCCCAGTCATGATTGCCAAAACTGTGTTTGTTTATAGGTTCTTGAAGATAAAGAAGTCACTTTGGGCTGAGGGAGAAATACAGCATTTCCCTGAGAAACAGAAGTGTTTGAGATTCTCTTGGAGGGCCTGGAAAGCACGTCAGACACATGCCCGCCTGTAGAGCATTTCCTGCCTAATTTTATGGTGCCAAGGGACCACGGTAGAGTCCAAAACATCCTTAGTAAGCTGAGCTCTTAATTTGGGGAAAATTTAGAGGTGAGGATGATTTACACAAATACAGTTTGCCCAAGTAGAATCTAACCTGCAAATCAGAGAGTTCCTGTCAGGCCTAGTCTTTTCAGATGGGCCCAATGGTTTGGGGAAAACTGAATGGGACCTGGTATGTGAGCCTGTAATTCATTCCCTCATAAGATGTGTAATTTTAATCACTTCCTGTCACATCTTTTAGAGAGCTTTACATAGAAACAAATGTCAGAGTTTTGCGTGTGGTACGTGGGATCCTTCAGGATCTAGCTTTTGATATAATTACATGTTCCTTCCTCTTCCCCAGTATCTTCCTCACGAACCATTCACCCTGACTTGGTGGTTTATTTTCTGCTTCACCGTACTGTGCTCTCTGGCATCTTCAGATTCAGTCCAGAGCTTCATAACACTTCCTCCAACCACAGACTTTGCACACAGCCAAGCATCCCACTGTGTGTGCACTGACCCATTGAGCTTCAGGCTACTACAGGTATCGCCTTATTGTCAAACACACATGCAAGCCCTTGGACGGGAGATATTTCACAGTACCTGATTTACTTCTATGAAAGTTTATGTGTCATAAATTTTTTTCTTCCCTGTGGTTTTCAAAGGAGATAGTTGTAACAATACGGAAAAATACCTAAAATGTGTGGTGGAATTTCCTTCACAAAGAAGAGATTCTAGCACTTATAGTAAGCTCCTATTGAAAGCCATATACAATGTTCAGAACCAATGAGTAAGAATCATTTATTTTATGGAGTTCATAGGAAACTGAGAAAACAGACATGCCTACAACAGAGAGATTTTTTATCACATAAATTGTGCTAAGTGGTGTGAAACCCTGAGAAATAGTAACTGTTCTTATCAGTTTCATGGAAATGTGACAGTGAATTAAGACCTTGAAGGTTAAGCAGACTTTGCTAGAAAGACACAAAGGATAGTAGATTTGGGTGGGGAAGAGAGACAGTGGGCAAAAACTCTGTGAGCTGATATCTGTAGTTAACAGCACCTAGTAAGAAGGATGTATACTGCTGGGGAAAATGATGAAGAAATTAGGAATAACTGAACCTAATTTTTTGTTGAGTGAATAGCAGCAGTACATAGCAACTAGTGATGACATTTGGGAAATGAACTTGGCAGAGTCCACAGATGCATAGATAAAGGAAAAAATGTGGTGCTTGTCTTTCTGTGCATGGCTTATTTCACGTAGCAGAATAATCTCCAGTTCCAGCCATGCTGCTGCAAATGATAAAATTTCCATCTTTGTAGAGGCTGCATAATATTTCATCACGAACAAGTACTGCAGTTCCTTGTCCTTTCATCTGTTGATGGACACTTAGGCTGAACCATTCCTTGGATATTGTGAATAGTACTACAGTGAATGTGCAAGTGTAGATTTCTTTCTGCCATGCTGATTTCACTTTTGAAATTTCTTTCAAAATGACAGTGACTAAACCTATCACGTGTTAACACCAGAGCAATAATGTCACCGTCTGTCGTGTAGCTTCTGAAAGATTCTACTGTACAGATTTGAGAAATGAAAGTAGGAAAGGGAAAAAGTATTAGTATTACAATGAAAGTACTTTTGACCTCATAAATCCCTGAAAGGCAGTCAGGGTCTCAGAGAGATTCCTGGACCACAGTTTGAGAATTACTGTACTAGGACAAGAGCTTTAAGAGGAAAAGAAATGAAAGTAGTAAGCTTCAATTAGAGCCCAAACTACAGAAGAATTATGACTGTTTGGATAACATTAGCTTTACCAACATTTGTTGCCAGATGCCAAGTTCATATTATCTCATTTCAAGTTCAAGACAACCTGCTAAGATCTGATCCAAATCATACATTTCAAAATATACCTAATATACCTAATCCCCAAGATGGAGTCTTTGGAAAGTGATGGTTTTGTGAGAGATTAGTGCCCTGACAAAAGAGACCCCAGAGACCATCCTTGTCTCTACCATCGCATAAGGTCACAGTGAGAAGGTGCCATCTATGAACCAGGAAGTAAAACTTCATCCAACATTGAACCTCCTGACACCTTGGCCTTTGACTTCCCAACACAAGACTTGTAAATTCATGCTGCTTATGAGCCACCTAGTCTAGGGCATTTCATGTTAGCAGTCTGGATACACTAAAACACAACTGCAAAGATACGATTTAATATCTGTATTCTATAGATGACAAACAGTCTCTGAAGGTTTAAATAAATTACCCAGAGATACACAGCAAGGCAATGGCAGGTTTGATCCAAACCAGGTCCACCTTTCTTATTCCCAACCCCAAACTCTAAGTCTATCCAGCAGGTCTGTAAATAATTAAACGACATATTCAATTTTTAATCCACCCTTACTGTTTGCAAGTCATGGGGTCTGGCCTCTTATCTCCAATACTGTCATCTCACCCAGTTTCAACCACACTAGAAGGGAAGGGCTGTAATTATCCTCATTTTTTTACACGGATAGTCCAGTTGCAGAGGTTAAATAACTCATCTGAAGTCAGAAAATTAGACAGTGGTACAAGTAGCATGCCCATCCACATGTTTCTAATGTCAAAAGTAGGTTCTTCACAACATTCCTCCCTGAAAGTTTACTAGTTATCTCAATAAAAACAATAAAGTAATAGTTATGATTTGTCAAGTGTAATCCCTTTCTCTGCAATCACTTAGCTTTTCTATATTTAGGACAAGAGTCTTTGTTAACCACTTTAAATGATAGAGTATCGAAGGAATGAGAGATCTGAATGACATATTGGGGCGGGGCGGGGGTCAAGAAAAGTCATCAGCTATGGATCGAAAGTGGGACATACAGGGCCGATCTCAGCAGTGGGGAAAACAACTCCTGGCTTGAAAAAGAATGATGGCCTCAATACTTTAAAAATCAATATTCTTTGTGTTGTTCAAAATGTGTGTGGTTCAATTTCCGCCAACATTTTCCTTGCCTTTCTCCGTGTACTCAAGTTGACTACAAAATAGATTTATCCCTAAAATGTTCGTACCAACAAGGATACCTCAGGTTCTGTGCCCAGTGGTGAAATGTCACCATGGTTGGCTATTTGCAATGCAGATCTCTAGTCTTTGGCATCCAAGATTGATGTCGCTGAACGAATATACTTCCTTGTAAAGCTGGGGCTGAGTGCAAACAATTCTCTGCTCAGCCTCCAGTGGTTATCACAGATAATAAAGCAGGGAGAGAGAGGTAGGAGCTATGTGCCTCTTGTCACCATCTGATAATCTCAGGAGGTGTGAATATGGCTAAATTTGGTTGAGGCCACCAAGTCTGAGTTGAGGGCAGGTGGCATTCCCAAGCCAGGACAGAAGCCAGTGAGACTTTCCAGAGATTATTCTGGAGACTAATGAGGAGGCAGAGCCCTGTGCTGCAGAGCACCTGTTTGGTCAGACTGTGCATTCCCAGCATAGTTTCTGGGTGGCTCAGGGTTGTGACATTTGGTCTTCCTGCAAGGAGCAGAGCTCCTTGGGGAGCATGACTTGGCTTCACCCATCCAGCTGCTGCGTGATTCCAGGATTCCAAGGGACTCAACCCTAGACTAGGCCCTTAGGTGCAAAATTTCACAGGAAATCGTAAAAATCCTCTAGAGAAAATATAAACTTATCTGAAACCATCTTTTCCTTTAGAGATATTGTTGAAATTTGAAAAGAAAATGTTTTGTTGTTAAATCCGTTACCACCTCTGGAGAGTTCAACATATTAATCATGATACAGAAGAAAACTCTTCACGCAGGTTCCTGAAGATCTCGATTACCTGACCATGTCTTGACTTGTTTTTTGGTGAGTTCAATTTTTCCTAGATTTGTGTTTCTTAGTACCCCAAGAAAAAGAAAACTTGCAAACAATGAAATACAAAGTATAGCCAGACACCACAGTTCCTAAATTACAAATTATATAATCAGTGTAGAAAACAGAAAATATTGGCCGAAAAATAACTTTTGTAGCATCATGAAGTATCTAAATACCTAGAAACAAAGAATGTGGACATTTTGGCTTTTCTAGACACACACACACACACACACACACACACACACACACAGCATGAACACATGAACATATTATGTTTGACAAAATGGGAAATAATTTTATATCACCTCTTTCATCAGCAGCAAAGTATTTGGTTGGATATATTTAACAATCATTAGATTCACTAATTTTCCAGACTTATGCATTGAGATATGTTTCATTATTTGAAAAATTACAGTAAGTTTTATTGTGCTTTTATGTCTAGTCATTTCTATAACTAAATATTTCTACTCTCAACTATAAAAAATTGAATCTATTTTTTATTGATCTTTCTCAGTTACCTTCATAACCTCTAGGCCTCTTTGAAATAAAATGATTTGGAAGAACTTTTCTTTTTTATTTAACTTAAAGTTGGCAGCATTTTACAACCAACATTCAAATGTAGGGCACCATAAGAACCAGCAGAAAGGGATGAGGCAAAGATTACAATCTTAGCATTGCTTTGATTCTTCACAGGTCAAGCACGTATATATCTCTATTAGTGTAGATAATATAATGTGTTGTCCCAGCATCTCATTTAAACATAAGACATTTGAAACTTGGGAATTGTTTCTATACATAAATAAAATAAGAAATAAGAAATGTGTATTTATCTCCCTGAAGTGTAAAAACAAATTATTATTGGAAAAAGTCTTGTAATAATGATATATAACATTATTGAGCACCATCTATATACTAGAAAATTTATACATATTGCTTCTAATCCACATGAATCCTAAATTATTTATATTTGTAATTTTTCATTGAAGGGAATGTGAGGTCATTATTTTTTCATTTTAATGTTATAACTACATTTATTTTCCCCATTTCATAACAAAGACTATGAAAGAATTTTGATGTTTGTTGATATCATCATTCTCCATTCTTTATACATATGGAGTTAAAAATAAAAGTCAATGAAATTATGGGAAATAGGCTTTATTTTCCATAAGAGTTGGTGTTTGAAGATGGGAAGTGATCTTTTGAAGATTCCAAAAAGGCTCTTAGAAATAGTTTCAAGGATTTTACTGAGAGGAGAAACCAAAGATGACCCTGATCCTTCACACTGTTGAATTTTCTTTTCCAATTTGTACCACATTTATCTTTCATTAACATTAGGAGACATCTATTTCCTGCCTTCTGTGATCTGGGCTTCTGGGGGCTTACGGATTAAAGGTCAACCCTCTTTCACTCAAGACAAGAATGTTACCTTTACAATTATCTGAGGACTTATAAAGCACTTATATTAAGTTACTAGTATATTCACCCTACAGAAAATTCTGCCTTTGTTCTCTTGGATTCCTTTACTTTTGTTTCTCCTAGTTCTTCCCAGTTTTTTACTCCCAACTCCGACATCAAGAATTGGCCTCAGAGCTGCCTCCTCTGACATGGCTTCCTGGCTCAGTGAGGAAGGCGGAAGAGAGATCAGGGAGAGCATATCCTGAAGAGAGTCGAAATCCATGCTCTAGAGTGTCCTCCAAACTAGAGTAGAAGCCTCTCCTCTGAATCTGGAGTTAGTATTTTGTGGGTTTTTAATTTGTTAAAACAAGTAACTTTAAAAACATTAAAAATATGCATGTTAGATAAAACACCTAATCTTACTTCAAAACGTGGAAGTTATCCAATAAACAAAGAACATATACCACATCTATTAAAAATGATCAATGATTTTTAGTTCTTATGGTATTTAAAATGGTTCAATAACACACAGCCCCTGCAAAATTAAGTGTACACTCTTTCTCAATTTTTGCAATTATTTTCAAATAGTTCTATCACTCATAACTAATTTCCAAAAATTTTTTTATGAATTATTGTTATAGTTTATGCTCCCGACCTCAAATTTCTATGTTGAAATATTAACCCCTAATTGCATGGTATTCGGGTGTGGGGCCTCTGAGTGATAATTATATTAGGACAAGGTCACAAGGGTAGAATACCTATCACAGAATTCGCATTCATATTAGAAGAGAGACTTTCTTCTTCATGTGAAGACACAGCACACAGGCACCATTTTGAAACTAGACAAATGACCTTCACCAAGAACCAAATCCGCCAGCACCATGACCTTGGACTTCCCCCCTCTAGTATTATGATTAATAAATATTCATTGTCTATGCCACCCAGTCTATGGTATTTCTGTTAAAGCAGCCCAGAGTGGCTAAGTGGCTAAGTCTCTCAAAAGCTATCAATTTATTTTTTTATAGTGGCAAAACTCACATTTATATTTCAGCCATGTATATATTAGTTAAATAAAGTACATCATTGTAGTAATGGTAAACCTGGTCTGAATATATTTTGAAGAAACTTGACTGGTTCCTAGGCAGCATAGTGTGGAGGAAACATGTTATTCCAAGTATGCTGTTAAGCAGACATGTGCTCGCTGATTGAAAAGTCCCCTGTGCGCAGGAACATAAATAAGCACGCATTTGTGTTGATGGTGACAGAATAAGGAGTGCCTGAGATCCTGCAGTGCTTTGTCTGGAGGCTGAAACACTTCTTACATCTGCTTTTGACCTTGACATGGCCAAAGAAGGCAAGGCAAGGCTGTGTTCTCAAAAGGGAGAGATCAAGCAAGGAAATTGACTAAGCCCATTGGTAGGAAGAAGTGAGCATTTCTGCACTGTTCTCCATAGAACCAAATGTACTCAGTGGAGATGGAAAATGAAAGCCTACAGATGATCCAAAGTCAGGGACATGGGGAGACCAAGAATGTAGGTAGGGCTTTAACCTCAAACATCAGGTAGAAGGGAAACCTTTTCAAAAAGAGAGGTAAGAGAAATCACTGGTGAAAAATATTTCTGATAAGAAGTACTTACAAGAAATGGGTACACGAGGCCAGTCCTCCAATGATAGAGAGCAGAGAATTCCTATTGTAAAACCTTTCCACAGATAGGGAATTGAGCGTAAGTGACCTTGAAAATAATGCTCAGATAAACAAAATGGGAAACTGACTCTACCTAGACTTTAAAAGGAACAATTGTGATATGTTGACTTGAATGTCCTGTCTTTGGAACACATCTAGACCTTTATTTTCTTTTAATATTCAATAACAATAAAACAAACAGCTATACATTTCTTAGTACATGTCAGACAGAGTTTTTAAATGAAGATATCATTCAGGATTTCTAATATTTCTATGCAGAGGGAGCAATTATCATTCTTAATTTTGATGAATCTGCAGCATAGAGTTTTAATCATCAAAGTCAAATAGTCGACAATTCCAAAGAAGATCCCAGACTCATACACCATCTCTGGCAGCGACTGCTAGTCTTGGGATTACGAACACACGCCTTGGGGGCTCTGGATTTTGTTTTTACGCTTCATTTGGGTGGTGAGGGGAATGAGTTTGGGAGACAGAAAAGCTTAGCAAAGCAGCCCTCATGGATCACTGGTTCCTGGCCAAAGCCACCCCCTTCTGCTTGGCAGAGAGAGTAGATGCTACATTCCTCTCCACTCGCCTGTGGTCTCCATTAGAGTTCCCCACAGTTAGTAGATAAAGTTAAAGACTCGTGTAGTGATAGTCACACTAATTGGACTGTAATGTATAGCCTCAGTCAAGCACATCTCTCCCAGCCAGCCCTCCTCTCCGCTGAAGGCAATCAAGCCATTTACAGAAGATGCATTGGCTGCACAGACCCTCAAGTAACCTTAAACTGCACTGGCCTTTTAGTGGAAAACTCAATTAATTTTGATACTGAAGGGCAATTAAGACTGGGGTTAAAATAAAAAATTAAAACACAGAATGTCAATGATTGGGGAGGAAATTTTTCCCACAGATATTTCAGAGGCCCAGCAGCATCCCACCCTCTGGTTACTCCTAATCGGGTTGCCAAATTCCTAATTCATTTCAGCGAAGGTGAACTGAAATGTATCGCTGTGTTCACTGTGTTGCTACTCTGCCAGGAAATTGCTTACATCAACTATTTTACCAGCAGTAGCTTTGAAAAACACATGTGCGCCTGGACACCTGTTACTTTTATACATTTGGAGAAACACCTACACAGAGTTTTTCAGACACATGCACACAGCTATGGATAAGGCACCATGTGTTCCAAGTTGCTCCAGCTAATTTCAGCTCAGAGGAAATCTTCCGCAGAAAGAAAAAACTTTCCTTTTAATAAAAGGACATTCCAAAAGGAGGGGAAAAATGATAATGTTATATAGCATTTACAAGAGAGATTCAGTAATTGCATGACTAGTTGAAAGATAAAAAGTGGAGTAGTAGAGAAATACTGGGCCAATTGGAAAATTTCTCACTACTCATTAGTTAGTTGACCTTTCTGAATTTATTAATCACATGGGGTTCTTTTTAAGTGAATTCTCTGTTTGGATTCTTATTTTTCCAATGGGATATTTTTAATTTGGAGAAGGATTTTAAAATGTATTTTTTGAATACTGAACATCTTTGAATACATGCATGACAAATATTTTTTCCGAGGCTGTACATTGTCCAATTAAACCAATATATTGTTAAAATATGAAGAAATGTTAGTGGACATGACCCTTGGTATAATCAATACAAGCAGAGGATATTGCTATAATTCAGAACTTTTATCAGTTACGTATTTTAGGATGTTCTCTGCATGATTGTTGGTAATAACCGCCAGTTCTTGCTAAGGGCTTACTAGTTCCCAAGAACTCTTGTAAGGTTTTAGACTCATATGAGTAAATCAAGGCACAAGAATCAAATAATTTGACCAAGAACAAAAAAAAAAATAGAAGTAACAAACAGAGATGAAAATCCAGGAACCATGGTTTCAGGGCTCACAGATGTA